GTAGTTTTGCAATAATTGCAGCAACTTGAAAAGACTCTGGAAGAACTATTTTGAGAACATGAATCTTATTAACCAGAACCTCCAATTCATGAACTTGCTCTAGGACAGACTTGTCATCAACCATTTTATATTCTAGATATTTTGCAATTAAATACTTGTTTGTACCTTCCTCCTCGGCTTTGTATTTAAATTCCAGTGCGTTCCAGATCTCCCTTGCCGACTTTATCCTCGTGAAAAGATCATATAATCGGTCCGAAAGTGTGTTCAGAATGTGACCGCGACACAACACTTCATCTTCCTCCCGTTTTGCCTTCTGCTTTTTGATTTCTTCTATTTCCTCCTCAGTAGGTTGTTTGCCATCTGCACTTGGTTTTGGATCTTCTATGGGCTGCAGATTGGGGTTGAGAATGTAGGAGATCTTCAATGCTGTAAGAAGAAACATCATCTTGTCTTGCCAGCGAGAGAAATTGTTCCCGTCGAATCGGTCCAATTTGAATAGAACATTTAAGCGGTAGCGGCAAGCGTGCTAAGTGCGTCTAATAATCACGTCAAAATCGCGCATTATTCGCGCTACCCGCACGCGGGTTTAGAAGCCTATACTTTGATCCATTATTCAAAGCCCACTAAGCATTCAATGCTTTTAAACCTCTAAAACAATGCTCAAAATTCCAATGTGGGACTATCTTGTTTTTTACAAACAAATACTAACAATCCCCCACTTTGTTTGAAAAAACATTTTAATAGTATTATATTTAAAAATAAGTTCAGTGCGTCAGTTTCATTGCCTACAAGCCTCGACGGTGACGACCTCCTTTTGTCTGTTAAGTGTTGTGCGCAGCGGAAATTTCGGCAGCACCTCCGGTGCGCAAGGTGCACAACAAGATATTAGATCACAATGAAATTCTCGTTTCTCAAAGGAAACAAGAACCAAAAAGCCAGATATCTCATCAAAGTGAGATATCAGCTCTTCCTCTCGTCAGCTCTAGGACTGCGCGTCGAGGGAACCTACAAGCTATTACAAATCACGGCAAGAACACAAATTTTACGTGGTTCGGCAAATTGCCTACGTCCACGGGGCAAGGAGGGGGGAGATCTACTATTAGAGGGAGAAATACAACTGGGGTTCTCACAAACTCTCAGATCCCTCACACAAATATTCTCTCAAAGGGTACACAAACTCTCTGAAACCGGCGGCTCTCCTTTGCAGCTTTGCTTTTCACACCGGAAAAAAAATCTGCAGCAACCGCACAAATCTCCAAAAGTCTCTAATCTCGCTCGCGAACAGAGTTCCGCAGCCGCACTTTTCACCCCTTGCACACCCAAAAAACCTAGAAATAAGAACCCTATTTATATGGAGAAATTGTGTCGGCTAACGCATTCACGAAAACGCGTTCACGAATAAGAGGTGGCCCCCACAAGCAAATCACTCCACGCGGAAGCAAGCGGCAGAAACAAGAGCGTTCATAAATAACGTGGGCCCCCAATCACGTGTTCACAATTCTCCACCTCGGCGAAGTTTCTTCCAAAACTGAGCCGACACCGACCAAAACAAATGTCTCACTTGTTGTATCCAGTATGCCATGGCAACGGACTCATGACAACGGACTTCATCCACAACAGGTCGAGACCCAAACGGGAGTGCGAACACTCAACCCAAATCAAATAGTGTCTACTCACCAAATCAAACTGAGCCTACACCGACTACACCAAATACCTCACTTGCTGAGACCCAAATGGGAGTGCGAACACTCACCCCAAATGTCGATGTCGCTCACCAAATCGATCTCACCCCCAACTAATCCAAACCGGCTGCATCGTAAAGACTGCCTACGTATCCTCTTGCCCAAGGAATCAAGCCGAACGTAGTTCACCAAAACGGCCTCCAAAGGCCTCAATCCACTAGAAGAGTTCGTAACCCTTCTCCAACATCACAATCAAGTCTACGGCTGATAGCACCTCCAATGGCCCTAAACTAAAACAATCCAAACATCTCCACCTGAGATGAACCAACGGCCATATCCAGACTACATCTACCAGCTGCATTCGAATCAATCAACCTATCATCTGCATCCAAATCAACACGATTCCCAATCTGTGTCACATCAGCTGGAATTCCAAATGATGCAGTATGATCTGGAGTCTCCACCCAACGTGGAGTAACATCACTCTCCACCCGCTGCGATGTCCTAATGATCTGATCACCACTCTCCACCTGCCGAGAGTCAAACGTGACATACCTGCTCAGAACAAAGTCAGAAGCCAATACCTGATAATCAAACATGCCTCTGAATCCCAAATGTGCTATCGGATCAAATCTCACATCCATGATGTGACCAAGTGCTAGGTAGCTAAACATCCGACGCAACCCAAAATCTGAAGCAGCTCCACCAGATCCAAAATCTCTACATGCAGCAGTCGGCAACCTATACATAAGATGGCCCAAACATGTCGTAGCCCGCACACCAATGCCAGTGCTCGACATCAAACACCGATCCTCCTCCAGAAAGGAACAGCTCTCCAAATCTGCCATCTCATCACGTCGCCTCAAAGTTTCCATACCAATGAAGTATCTCCAATTGTCGTGAGCTCGGCACAAATGTAAGAAAGAACCCCTACCATAATCAGAACGTCGGGTTACCTTTCTACCAACACACTTCCTCCATCTGTTGCGGGCTTCTAGGACTTCACACCAACGGGACTTGGTTGCAACCCACCAATGTCTAGAGAAATCCCCAACTACGGAAACCACATACCGATTACCTCCCAATGATGCTCCTTTGGAAGGCCCCCGAATGCCTGAATGAACACCCCTCAGAAGACCCCTCGAATGATGGATAGAAGTGCCAAACTCCACCTCGGTCTTCTTGCTCATACCAATGGGTTCACAGGACTTCAAACTGGAGGTCAAAGCACTCCTTAACAACCTATGCACGGCATTACCAATCAAATAACCCAGCATCAAACAATGCCACAGTCTAGCCGAATCTGATGAAGTCGTTATCTCACTATCAATCGCCGTGCTTCCGAGCAAATAATACAAATTGCACCTTCTGACGCCCTTCATCACAATCATGGACCCCAATGTGACCTTCAAACGTGCATCCTCCAAGGTCACTTTATAGCCAGATGCCACCAAAGCTCCTAGTGAAATGATGTTCTTCGACAACTGCGGAACGAACCTCACTTCTTCCAACTCCCGCACCATCCCGTCACTCATCTTAATCCGAACGGTACCAATACCACCAATAGAGCATGCATGTCCATTACCCATGAGCACAACATCCTCTCTTTCCAACTTCTGAAAGCTGGAGAACCAATCCCTCCTAGGGCAAACGTGGTATGAAGCACCCGAATCCAACATCCACTCTGTAGAGTTGGCAACACAAACTGACGGTAGTGCAGACAACGAATAGCCTGAAGAATCCGAATTTGAACTGTCGCCACTAGTCTTGACAACATTCACCTCTGAAGCTTGTACAGCTTTCCCCTTATTCTTCTCGGCTCGATCTAACTTTGGGCATTCTGCTTTCCAATGTCCATCCTCTTTACAAAAGGCACACTGATTCCTACGAATCCCACGATGTGCACCTCTAGACCGCGACCTTCTGCTTCGGTTTGAACCACGGCCTTGAACTACTAATGCATCTCCCGATGCCTTCTCGGAGGACTCATCAACACTCTTCCTCAACTCATAATTCACCAACGCTGAGGTCACCTCATTGTAACTAACAGTAGTTCTTCCATTAATCATAGTTAGGACAAAAGTACCATAATCATCCTCGGGCAACGAACACAAAAGTAGCATCGCCAATAACGTGGGCCCCCAATCACGTGTTCACATTAAGCTGCTGAACATGACATTGCCTGTTTTGTTGCTGTTTTTGAGTTTGTTTGTTCCTTTTTCACTTGTTATTTACATTGGTGATGTGCTTTTCAAGAATGTTGTGTATTTGTTTTCTTCGGAGAAGGGGCATGGCAAATTTAACTTGAATTACCTATGGCATTTAAAAGGACAATTGTCTACCCTTTGGTAAAAATGGATCCTGTAGAGTGTTTGAAATGAAAAAGAAAGATATGCGGTAAATATTCTTAATAACTTTACAATAAAAGGGTATAATTACACTAAACCCGGAAGAACATACAGCTTTTTGTAGTAAACCCCGAGTATCTTTCAAAATCGCACTAAACCCCTAATAAGCTTTGCAGAAAAACCACAATATGTTTTTTGGTTCTAATTTATGAAGGTTGACCACAAAACGCAAAAACTTATAAAACTAACCGATCTGAATACAGAGCATAATAACAGAGCCTACTCACTGCCCAGTTTTCACATACAACAACTTGCAAATTTAACTTCCATCATCAATAAACAAGAAGAGAAACATTAGACGAAATTAGAGATGACATAACACACGAGAGCTCAGTTAGAAATCTTTGTAAGTAATAAATAATTATGATAATAGTGGTAATACTAAAGACTAGAACGAAGACAGTCAGCTCAGTTCTACTCTAGGCCCCAACAGACACCAAGCTCTCAATGCCAAGATACATTTGGACGGGTCCGCTCCTGCAAAGGTCATGAAAACGGCACTTTCCCTCGAAAATCACATTACGAACTTTAACCACCGACGTGAACGATATGCTCTGAGGATCATAATATTCCAATCTTTCCCAGGAACCAGTGCCACGACTCGAGATCAGCAGAAGAAGCTTTCCACTATGCACGCAAACAGGCCGAAAATCCCAGTCTTCGCGTCCCTCGATGCTGAAACTGCAGATGGGGATCCACTCATGATTCTCGCAATCCATGGAGATCCACATGCTATAAGTGGCTGTGGATCGGCAGTTGTAAACAAAACAAGGTTTCCCTTCAAAGCCGAAGATTTCCATATTGTGATAATCGGTCAAATCCGAGGATGGGGGATCAACCACTCGAAATTTTTCATCTTTTAGATTCAAGGCAATAAATACTTCTTCATCAAAGGAAGCCCTGAGGTGGAATATCTGAGATAACTCGCCACGAAGAGTCTGAGCCCAGAGTAAATACTTCGAAGCGCAAGCCACCGAAACCAAGGAAATATCTAACCACTTTGTAGGCATTATTTACTCGGAATGAAACTGAAACCAGCACCGAAATTCTCTACAAAACAGAAAGACAGAGAGTGTCGTTTTGGAAGGATAACCAACTCTTGAGTAGCAGGTTTGCAGACAAAAAACGGACCAGTGGCGAAAGAGAGCAGGACCAAACCATTGCAATGTTGTGGCCGGAATAAGCTCCGTTCAGTTTTGCATAACAGATGATTAAACAAAAGACTAGCTCCGTGTCTTTTGCTACTACTACTGAGGTCGTAGGCATACAAGCTCATTCCACGACGCAAGCCATCAATAGTTATGAACATTAGTTTCGGCAGTCTTTTCCTCGCACGAACCAAGTGTAGGCGGGCAAGGAAAGGATTCGGTATGACAGCGTTCCAAGATTTGGACACAGACCTCCACCTGAGCACATCTTTTGCAGGGAGCCTAGGGAGTATCTCACTGGATATAATGTCTTCGCTTAGAATAGGATTGCTCTTTATTTTTTTAATTCTCCTCCTCCTGTCCGTCTTCTCCATCCAAATTGAATAATGAAGAAGCAAACGATAAAAGTACAACTTCAGTTTACTGCAATGATTCTGCTGAACGTTTCTCTTCTTCATTTCAATCTGTTGGCCTCCAGTGATATTCTTCCTGACTCTTTTCATCGGAATTAAACAACCACGATAACATACATGATGAAAGTATTGCTGCATAAATATTTCCTATGGCAATGAGTTATCAAAGAGAAAAGGAGAGGATGTTATATTTATAGGTTTGAACTTCCCTAATCTTAGCGAAACAATATTCTGACCCTAATGAATTTAGGATACATAATACTGTTCTTACTTTAACATCAGTACTATCAGAATAGCTAAAAGATTACACTAGTCCCACTAGGAAAATATGTGTATATGCTTGAGACCATATATAAAATGAAATTTTTGTGGAAACACTTAACCAATGAAAGTACCAGCAGTTGATGCCAATTTAATGACTATCCTGCTAGAAAAATGTTCAAAAATTAAAACTAAAAATATTTTTAGTTTTGAACCATGCACACAACTTCAAAAATAATTCCTCTTGCAGCTAGACAGAAATCTGGATGGTTGGTTTACATATGTAAACTTTCAACTTTTTGCTTCGTATACTTAAAATATTTGAACAAGAAAACAGTCTGGTCATGTACGCTTAACATTTTAATTTATCTACAAATTTGAATCAGAGAACATTTTAGAATTGATTTAGGACCTTTCAAATTTTCTTTCACAAACCGAGTAAAGATTTTTTTTAACACACGCGCACGCGCACAATCCAGACATGTATGAATTCAAATTTGCCTAGAAACTAATAAACTCAGAGAATATTTGAGAGTTAATTATATATGTAATCTACAATTTTCTTTTCACACAAATCATGAGTATTTGAAGCTTTGGACAAAAATATTTGATATGTATCTTACAATTTGAATTGAGCACCATAGAATTGCTTCTATACGTCTCCTCAAATTTGATTTCATGAAGTATGAGAGTTTGGACCGGAAAACAATTTGAATGCGTACTAATTATCAAACAAAGGTAGGTTTTGACCATACAATTAGGAGAGGGGAAAACAGAGTCAATTATATAGATGCTTGTACACCGGAGTGACCCTAACTTTGTCGATCCGGACATAATCCGACATCTCTCTTCGCCATTTGTACAAAGCGCTCCTCCTCAGATCATGTAGGCATTAGTTGCTCAAGGAGGGCACTCCGGGTTCACCGAACACTTAATAGCGGTTAAGCGCAAGCACGCCATGGCAAGTGATTTTTTTTAATAAGAGATTGTGAATGGGGAAAATTTGTAAAATAGTCCGTTTTTGCTAATTATTTAGTAAAATAGACCGTTTTGCTAAATAATTAGCAAAATAAACCTCTTTTTGGTAAACAGGCCAAAAAAAGGTCTATTTTGCAAAACAGCTCAGAAAACATACGGGACTAGTAGTCCTGTATGTTTTAATCACGGATTAGTGAACTCAGAAAATTTCACAAAATATTGAGATGAACTCAGAAAACATACGGGACTACTAGTCCCGTATGTTTTCTGAGTCACTAATCCGTGATTAAGTTGGCTCTAAACATACGGGACTAGTAGTCCCGTATGTTTTCTGAGTCTTGTTTTTCAAAATCGATCTATTTTTTTCAATAGAGATCTATTTTGCTAATTATTTAGCAAAACAGTCTATTTTGCTAAATAATTAGCAAAAACGGACTATTTTGCAAATTTTCCCTTGTGAATGCCAAAAAGACAACCAAAAATTCCAATTCTCAGGGGGGGAGGGGCGTGGATTCTCATACGAACTGCTGTCAAAATCAAGTTAATACACACAATAGGATCCAATTCATATGTAGTAAAGGATTAAATATTAGGTTGAGCCTCGAAGAGAGATGAGGAGATTTGAGTTAGGGTTTGCGTTCCGTTCAAATTAGGGTCGGATCGAATTAAGTTTATAGAAAAAAACATAATCCTAACCAAAGAGATTAAAAAACATAAAGGATCATCGTTACCTCTTTCACGGAGATAAAACTCTCCATGAAACTCGATGCCGCGGTCGGCGACCAGGGGGTTCTGGGGGCGCGAAGCTGGTTAAGGGGGTGTTTGTTTGGAATCCTTATAATTTTAGGATAGATTTGAAATACATAGGTAATTTGTTATGGGTTGAGATTCCTAAAACTTTATTTGTTTTAATAATATTTTAGAATTTGGAATACTATAATTTATAATATTTTTGTTTGTTTTAAACTTTTTGGAATTTAAAATCCTTAATTTGTCTAACACTTTTGAAATCCACCTACATCCCACTCAAAAAAGAGGATTTCACAAATCCTTAAATATAATACTTTTTTATTATTTTGGGATTTGATATTCTAAAATTTGTTTTGAAACAAACAAGTTTATATATGGAATTTTAAAACCAAAAAAACTCACTTTTTTATCATAGAATTTGATATCCCACCCAAATGCCAAATTTTTTTTGAAACAAACACCCCCTAAAGGTAATAGAGAAGGTGCGAGATCTGATCTGATCTAACCGGCGGAGGGAGGGATAGATGTGTGCGTGTTTTTACATTGTGGGCGTGTTTGGTTAGCTAAAATAAAAAAAAGGGAAATCTTTTATAAGTAACATATTTTCTGTAAGGGGTGTTTGTTTTAACTTTTTTTTTGATAATAGGATGGATTACAAATTCTAGGATGAAAAAGTGAGTTTTTTGACTTTATGGATTCCATAACCTTTGTTTGATTCAAAATAAAATTTGGGATATTGAATACTCAAATAATAAAAAACTAATATATTATAGTATTTGTGAAATCCTCTCTTTGAGAGATGATTTAGGCTATATTTCAAATTCTAAATTTTGAAATGCTATAATTTGAGTTTGAAATAAACAAAATACAAATTATAAGATTACATATCCCAAAATATTGATGAAACAAACAACATTTTAGAAATCCCAACCCATGTTAAAAAACCTATGGATTTCAATGAAATCCATATCCTAAAATTATAGGATTTGAAACAAACACCCCCTAATATGTTCTTTTCTTGTGTTTGGTTCACTTCTTTAAACTAAGAAAAGAGATGAGATGAGATGAGCTGTCACCATATTATTGGATGACGTGACTCATTTTTAAAGAAATTCATTTCATAATTTTTAAAAAAAATGGATGGAAATTAACTTTTAATAGTTTCCTTATCCTATTTTCTTTTCTTTCACCTTAGGAAATCAAACAAACAAGTCTTCTGTCGCTCGTGATATTTTAGTTTTTTATTTTTTCTGGTATTAGGTGAATGCAGGTGCCGCCCCGGTTACATTTCTTTTTCCGGTATTTTGTACCATACATCTTTAATATTTTGAATTAGTCCATTAAATTTTCACATAATAAAAGCGAAAATGATTAAAAAAGACTTCATAAAATATTAATGTATGTATCTGTAAGTTATATAAAAAAAGGTAATGCCATGTGTGCTTGCGGAACAACCTTTTCACAATGTGGGGCCTGCAAGACGCTTAACAGACCAAGATGTTTTTATAAAACTAGTTTTTTGCACGTGTAATGCACGTGGTTAAAAATCAAAATTATTTTTTTTCTTATTATAAAATAAGTTAGATTCATTTTGAGTTAAAATCTATAAATATGGATCATTACATTTGTATTCAAATATTTTAAAAAAAAATATGAAATAGATGATTAGTTTTAAAATTTTCTTGGGGTCAAAAATAAACAACTAACAAGTTTGCTGTGAAAAATATGGGAACATAGTACATTCTTAAGAATTATTAATCTTTATTTAGTTTGTTTATAATAATAGGATCTTATTATTAATTAACTACAATGCCTAGTGCATTATTATTTTTTTGTTGGACGTTCAAGGCAGGCAGAAGACCCATGTGAGTCCTCATCGCAATGAATGTTATACAATTTAAGTATAAAGAAAAAAGGAGGGTTAATCAATGGTGTAGTTGGTGAGGGAAAACTCCAGCGGTTTAATTTGGTGTGTGGATATATAATAGATGGAGATGGAGAATGGTGATTTTGAAAATAGTGGGTGCGTGTGGGTAATTAATATGGTTTTTATTTGTGTGGTTTTCTTCGTTCATTTTCAAGATATCTATGGTCATGTGGATATATATAGCTATAACATTGCTACTCTCTTTTGGTTTTGTGGAAGAGTTTGGGTGTTAAAAAATTTAAATTATCTAAGCGCATACATGAAATTTATTTTAACCAACACCCATGTGTAAATATTACATTAGGCATTAAGATCTAAGGTATGTATGAGATTCTCTTTGATTTTTATACAAACAGTATATATTTAAATAATAATAGTATAATTAAACTTTGTTATCTGAAAAAAAAAGATCAAACATACAATATAAGTAATTGCTTTAAAATGATCTAATCAAGTCTAATAAGAAGAAATAGATGAAAATGATATGAAAATTATTATAATTTCGAAATTCATAATTTTTAAATAATCTAATCTAATCTAATAAGAAGAAAATAGCAAAAACACATACATGTTGAAGGAGATGAAAGTGCTATGAAAATTATTATAATTTTTTATCTGAAAAAAGATCAAACATACAATATAATTAATTACTTTAAAATAATCTAATCTAATCTAATATGAAGAAAATATATGAAAGTGCTTTGAAAATTATTGATATTTCTTGATATGAAAAAAGATCAAATATACAATATAATTAATTACTTTAAAATAATCTAATCTAATCTAATAAGAAGAAAATAATAAAGGCATATACATGTAGATGAGATAAAAGTGCTACGGAAATTGTTGTAGTTTATTGGCTTATTAACATTGATATGTGATGTTACATGTGAGAGGATAACAATTATAAATATAGTTCTATTTAAATAATAATAGTATAATTAAACTTTAAAACTAATTATACAGTACCGTGAACTACTTGAATTTTAGTTGGTGAGAGATTGTCACGTTGTGTCCTCAAATCACAACCGTTTGTTTTAATTTTTCTTTTTTATAATTTTCAGAACGATTTTGTCTCTTTAATTTGTTTGATGTATTTTGCAAATACCTCATCCACATTATGTGCATTTGTAGATCTGTGATGTTTCGGGGTTCGACCTCTAGGGCGAATATTATTTGTCTCACTAATTTGTTTGGTTTTTACATATACATCATTCATCTTATATACATTTGTAAATTTGGCTTTTAATAATTTCATTCAGGTTTATATATCAATTTAAACTATATTCTTATCTTCATACCATGTATGTCCAATAAGAATTCATCAATTTATCAACTTACTCTTACTTAATGGATTTGTATTTGAATTTCAAGGGTAAGTCTACCAAAAGATTTTCTGGAACTCGTGCTTATAAAGAGAATATGATAGTAGGAAAATTTACACTCTTTTAATTTGAAAATTACACTTAGCATCATTTTCCACTTTCTATCACGAACAAGAAAGAAAAGAATTAACCTATGCTTATAATCCAAGGTCTTATGGCCATTTACTTCAAAACCCACGTAATTATATAGGTTCTCATACACCTAAAATACAAAGTTTATTTGCATACAGAAAAGTGTACATCTACATAGCGTAAAGTGTATAGCTCGAATATATAGTTATATACTATAGAGTATATAATTACATGCTATAGGATGTACGTACTCTATTGTACTTTGTAGCTACATACTTGTATTCTGGGTGTATGAGAACATATCGAACTATGTGCGTTTTAAAGTAAATAGGTGTTGTGCGCAGCGGAACTCGAAAGACAAATAGTACACAAACAAGAACGAGAAAGATCACAACCAAAACACAAGCACAAATCATAATCACAGCAAGACAAACCAATTTACATGGTTCAACAAGTTGCCTACGTTCACGGGACAATGAGGGGAGAGTTTTTACTGTTAGAGATAAAGAGAATTACAAATAGGGTTTCAAATCTCACAAAAAACCCTCAAACAAAGCTCTCTAGATCTCTCACAAATCCTCCCACAAAGGATGCAACAATCATCTCTCAAAGACTACACAAATCGTCCCTTACTTAACCCTAATTAATCAGGTTTAGGGTTATAAATCAGCTCATAACGAAACGAGTCTGAAATCCAAACTCAACTCAAAACCCGATTGGTGGTCGATCGCCAAATTCTTCGCGGTTGACCGCCCAGAAATCGACAGAAACAAAAAACATTACAGGGTTTGGCCAATCGACCGTGGCGGTCGACCGAACCCTAGCGGTCGACCGCGGCGGTCGACCGTCCCAACTCCAGAAATCTACTTCGACCTGTGCACGTTTCCGGTCGACCGCAACTGATCTCGCGGTCGACCAGCAAGCTTCCAGACTTTTTTTCTGAGCTTCTTCAACATTGTTCGCCAATCCTACAAATCTCCACCTCGGTGAAGTTTCTCCCAAAACTGAGCCAACACCAAAGCAACCAAATATCCCACTTGTTTCGTCCAGTACGAAGTGGAATAAATCCACAACAACGGACTCAATCCAAAACAAGTTGAGAACCGGAACGAGAGCTTAAGCAATCCCCCCTCCCCCGCCCATCGAAGTCAACAAATCTAACCGACTGCATCGAAAAGACTGCCTACATATCCTCTTGCCCAAGGAATCAAGCCGAGCGTAGTTCACCCAAATGGCCTCCAAAGGCCCTCAACATTGAAGAATGTTCAATGGCTTTAAATAATGACCAAATTTCACACCTGAAACAACTTTGGTCAACATATCCGTAGGGTTGTACTTCGTGTGGATCTTCTCCAATATGACATCTCCATCATCCAAAACATCATGAACAAAGTGGAATCTAACATCAATATGTTTCGTGCGTGCATGATAAATCTGGTTCTTTGCTAAATAGGTAGCCGACATGCTATCACAATATACCCGAATGGTCTTGTGTACAATCCTCAAGTCCTCCAACAATCCATGCAACCATAAAACCTCCTTAACAGCTTCAGTTACCGTCATATACTCCGTCTCTGTAGTAGAGAGTGCAACTGTAGACTGAAGTGTATATCTTCAATATACCGGTGCTCCTATCAATGTAAACACATATCCTGAAGTAGACATGCGCTTGTCAAGATCCTCCGCATAATCTGAATCCACGTAGCCAATAC